TTGTTTTATTTTGTTTTTTACTTACTTGTAAAATTTTATCATATATTCTGATTAGATATTTTGTCATACAAGTTGCAAATATCCAACTCTGTGGCTTTCTTTTTCATGCTATTAATGTATTTTCATAAAGAGAAATCCTACATTTTTGTAAAGTCCAATTTTTCATTTTATGGTGAGAACCTTAATGTGTCCTACTTAATTAATCTTTACTTATTACAGAGTAATAAGATATTCCTGTTTTCCTCTTTAATATGTATTGTTTTATCCTTCACATGTATATCTACAATCCATCTACAATTAGGAAGTATAAGGTAGAGGTCAAAATTACTTCTAGATAGATATCCAACTGGCCCAGCTTCACTTATTGGGGAAGGGGCCACCTGTCCCCCATTTCCATGAGTTTATACAAAAAGGATTTAAGAAGGAAAAACTTTCAGCAAGGTTGATAGGAAAATCCAGTGGAGATGGGAAAACTGATGATGTTGGAAAGAGAAGATAGAATATTCTAGGATAGGCTACCATAGATTGAACTGAAGTTCAAATAGAGATGTGACTTTAGCTAGAACCATAGACAGTCATTAATAATAGCAATATTAGTGATAGTCATTGGTTACACATGTTATTTACTATGAACCAGGTACTTACTATTCAAAACACACATACAAACACACAAAAACATATATATATATAGCAGTAATATGCCAATTTGTCCAAGACGCCTTAACAATCATGACTGGCTCTCAGCCTTAACAGTCATGACCAGCAAAGCTCGAAGCACGCCCCAACCCCAAGAGACACACATGGGGTGGGGGTCTTTTTCCAGCAGCTGAGGCACGTGCAGCTAAGGGAGCAGACCCCAGTGGACATATGGGAGCCACTGTGCATGTGCTACAGAGGAAACACCTTTTCTTACAGCTCATTGGCTAAGCTCCCTGTATGCCACATTCTGTTCTTGGTAACTTGGGTAATAAGAATCCAAGGTGATCTAGGGTTTTTCCACCTCACTCCTGGAGGAAAAAACAAAGGTCTGCTGCTGGATGGGGCTAAGAAATGTCATATCCTGCCCTGGCCAGTTTGACTCAGTGGATAGAGCCTCAGCCTACCGACCACAGGGTCCAGGTTTGAGTCTGATCAACGGCATGTACCTAGGTTGCAGGTTCCTCCCTGGCTGAAGCCCAGGTCAGGGCTCATGCAGGAGGCAACCAATTGAAGTGTTCTTCTCACATTGATATTTCTTTCTGTTTTCCCCTCTCTCTTCCATGCTGTCTAAAAATCAATGGAAAAATATCTTCAGGTGAGGATTAAAAAAAAGAAGAAAGAAATGTCATATTCTATGAAAGAGACATCTTGAAAATGCCTAAAGAATGTTGTCATTTTTTCCTGGTGAAGGGATTGGAGTCCCTATTGATGAAAACATCTCAGTGGCTGTGGTGGCTGGCAGTGGCTGCAGCAGTCGGGTGATGTGGCTGGTGCCTTCCCCTGATCAGCCTGGTTGCCTCAAACAGAGGGAGGCCATGGGGAGTGGGCCTAAGCCATCAGTAGGACATTCCCTGAGGGCTCCCAGACTGTGAGAGGAGCAGGCCAGGCTGAAGGACCCCCCCTCCAATGTATGAATTTTCATGCACCGGGTTCCTAGCATATATATATAAAAGGCTTAGAAACTGGCTGATGTCTAACTGGCTGCTAGGTATGACCTGCACTGACCACCAGGGGACAGAAGCTCAATGCAGGAGCTGTTGAGTGACAGTAACTTTGCAAAGTGCCCTCTCACACTCTGAGACACCTTGAGAAAGTTGAAAAACTGGTTTCAGCCCAATCCCCTCAGGCCAGGCTGAGGGTCCCCACCTGCAGACGGGACCCCATTCACTCTGCAGACTCCCTTTGGCCTGTGGCACTACCCTAGGTATGGTCGGCTGGAAAGGGACTAAGGGAGGTTGGTTCCAGGCTGGTCTCACCCAGTGCCACCCAACTGGCCCCCTTCTAATTTCCTTTCAATGTGCACAAATCTATGCACTGGGTCACTAGTATTAATATAAAACAATGAATTTTATTTTCTAGTGAAATACATATATATTTTAATGTACATATACAGTAGTGTTAGAAAACATATCTATGAAAGTGAAATTAGTTTACATATTCTATACTAAATTTGCTTAAAAACATTATGATATAGATATTGATTTGATAAAAGAAGTGGCAGAAACAGAGAGCACTTAAGTAACTTGGCCAAAAGTAGTGAAGCTGGGCCTTAAATCCATTCAGACATATCTAAAATCTGTAAACTTTAACTATTATGCTGTACTCATCACTGCTTTTTTAGACAGATTAGTTACTAATGAATTTTAAAATGTGTAGTAAGCACTTAATAATGGGTACTTAAACAAACATCTAATGTACGTATTTTCCATGTTTTGAGGCATATCTTACTAACCAAGCTTAAATTAAATTTCCTAATTTCTTATATTGGCTTTCATAAATTTAGCTAAAATTAGTAAGATAAATAAATTTGATCAACCACTTTTAATGTGTTTAAAGGGAAAAGAGAACACTCCTCTTTTATCTGAAGCTTGTCCCTCCCAGAAAAACATGCTAATAACAGATTTAGCTTTTAATATTCCACTTTTGGGTGAGTACTGCTAAGCTCTTAAAATGTGAATTGAAAACCATGGGGTTAATCCAAGCACTACAATGGTTTCCTCTTCAAACACATGCAAAGCTGCTTTGGTACTACTTGTTTGACCTCATATAATGTTTGGATAGAACATATACATGGTTTTTTAAATAACCATTCTAGTCAAATTGTAGGCCCGCCCTCATGTCAGCATAATATTTGTGTGGTTTTGCAGCAGTAAGTCCAAATAAGCTCCTTTGCCCTCTAACCTCTGGAAAGCAAACTACAACATAATGTACATCAGGCATTATACTTCTCTGTTGCCCATTAAAACACTGGCATATATCAGAAGTTCAGTGAAATTCAGACCAATGCAATCAGAATGAAATTTGAACTTGTGTTTAATGTCACCTACGTTTTAATCACTTCCCCTAGATTCTCCTACAATTTCTCTGAGGTTTTCATGTTTGTATGTCTTTTATAAATATATACATTGGTCCCTGTATGTCCTGACTTAAAAATACTATTGTAAATAGAGACTTGTGAAATGTACCATACATCACCACCAACTTTCAAAGCAGGAAGACAACTTTCCAAGTCAGAGAAAAGCTCAAAGATAAGGATGAGCATGTCACAGCACATTTAGGAAACATGAGACAATAAGCTTAGCTGGTGCAATGGGTAGTTGTTAAAAAGGGGTAAATTAGGAGGAGAAAAAGTAGAACTTGTGTGGGATCAGATTATAAAGCCCTAAAAATTAAATTGAGGTGTTTAATTAGTTAATTAATTGTAGTATTGCATTGAGTACCTCAGGTACATTGCTATGAATCACATTTGAACAAGATATGATACCTACTCTCAAGAAGCTTTGATTTTATAGAGAAATAATGCCTAAAAACAGTGTAACATAGTATGATGAGAGCTATAAAGGAGACATGTTTAAATTCAATGAGGACCTAAGGGAAAGGTTTATTCAATTTTCCTGAGAAAAGGACAGGAGAGTGACTTGACAAACCATATCAATTAGTCTAAGTGTTGAAGACTAAGTGATGTTTTATCGGGCATTGCTTTTGGACGGGTCAACATTTATAAAATCCAGAGGCAGACATTTTAAATCAGATGAAATTAGTTTACACATTGCTGTCACATAATGCTTTTATTGCTCCCTTCTCTCTAAACATGAAAATGGCATATAAAATATTTTAAAATGAACTTTAAGAGAGAAACAAGTTTGTGTTTGACCAGAAAAAAATTGTCAGGGGCAACTGTGGACTTCAGCCAATGTCTTCTAGGCTCTGGTGGTACAATCTATTGTATCTATTGCAGGATATATACATATGTCAGATGACACACAACATGCTTATTATATCAAAAGCAAGGATGGGATGCTCTACCATGTAAAAGAGGTCTAAAAGGCTAGGATTACTTGTGATGACTTCTTATGTAGACTTATGTATCTAAAGTTGTGAGAGAAAGAATACAAAGTTTTATCCACAGAGTTCCAATGAGTAAGTCTCTGCATAGTTTTGTCACAGGATAGTAGCATCCAATTGTAAATATTAGCTCTGATTTGGATGGGGGGGATGAGAATACGGAACAGGAGTACATTTGCAAAACAGCTTTTCTAGAACCAAGGTGTACAGAAATCAAGAGAAAAATAACAATAAAAATGAGCCTTCAAAAATAAAAAAATAGTCTAAAGCATAAAAGGGAAATTAAAACTAGTATTTGTTCCTTCTCTACAGTAGAGTAGATACACAGGGACAGTGACCTTCCTGACTGAAACAATCACAATCCTGGATAAAAGGTGTTTAAAATGCATATGTACTCACATACATGCACACACACACTTTTATTTTTTAAATTTTTTTAAATATATTTTATTGATTTTTTTTTCTTTTTACAGAAAGAAAGGGAGAGGGAAACATTGATGAGAAAGAAACATTGATCAGCTATCTCCAGCACATCCCCCACTGGGGATGTGCCTGCAACCAAGGTACATGCCCTTGACCAGAATCAAACCCGGGACCCTTCAGTCCACAGGCCAATGCTCTATCCACTGAGCCAAACCCGTTGGGCACACACTTTTATTTTAATAGTTAAATGAATTTGTTTGATTTTTAGAGAGAGAGAGAGACATCAGTATGAGAAGCATTGACCCATTGCACATGCCCTGGCCAAGATGGACCCTCATCAGCCTGGGTGTGTGCTCTGACCAGGAACTGACCCCACCACTTTTGGTGCAGAAGGAGACCACTTCAACCAACTGAGCCATACCCATCAGGGCTACACATGCTCTTTTTAAATTATATTTTTATTTATTTTTAGATAGAGGAAGGGAAAGGAATAGAGACAGAAACTTCGATGATTCCTCTCCAAGGCTGAATCCATGGAGCAGAACTTTCCCCGCTGTGTGCGTGAGGCCTGGGATTCCGTAGAGAAATCGCAGGAGCCATCCCCGATCTTCAAGAATCCGGGGCCCTGGTCACTCTCTCTCTATCCTGCGCTGGGCTACCTCACTTGGGATGACCAAGACAACCTAGAACAATATTCTGCTCCCTGTGGGTTTCTGAAACAGTTCTGCCCGGTGCACAGGCCGAGAGCACAGAGCACATCCAGTCAAGGTGCAACACTGCCCACTCCTGACCCGAGGCCCCAAACCCAGGAGCCAGAGAAACCGGTGTCACTCTGGATCTTTGAGGACCCCGGGCGCTGGACACTCCCTCACTATATGCTGGTCCACCTCTTTTGGGACAACCAGAATGTTGACCAGGAACCACATTCTGGTCCTTGGGGGTTTCCGCACCAGGACTACTGGCTACATGGGCCCAGAGTATGGCACCCGTTCAGTCCTGGCATACAGCTGCCCGTTATCTACCCAACACCCATCACCCAAGACCTAGGAGTCATAGATGCCTCCAGGAGTGGAGCCTATCACCCAGGAGCCCAGATGATGTTCGGCCTGCAGCCTTTCTATGCCTTTCTCCTCGCAGCAGGAAGGACACCTGAAACCGAGACTACTGATAGACCCTTCCAGCATCTCTCTCCTAGGGGACCACTTTCACCCGGAGGCTAGGGCAGCAGATCTGAGGCACGATGGCCAGGAAGACCACGGCTGCCTCCACTAAGACCCTTTATTGAATGATTGTTCTTATAATAACACTTCTCAATTTTAACAGTCATGTAAGCAATTTGCCTTCATAGACACTTGTAAGATTTTATTTTGATTATCTAATAAATTATGCAAGTTTTTTTTAAAAAAAAAGAAATGTCAATGAGAAACATTGATCAACTGCCTCCTGAGCGCCCCCTACTGGGGATGGAGCCTGCAACCAGACATGTGCCCTGACCAGGAATCTAACCTTGACCTCCTGGTTCATGGGCCAACCTTCAACCACTGAGACATATAGCCCTGCATGCACATGCTCTTTTAAAACTAATTTTATTTTATAATATACATTTTTATTTATTTCAGAGTGGGAGGGAGAGAGACAGGGAGATGGAAACATCAACAATGAAAGAGAATTATTGGTTCGCCTCCTATATATCCCCTACTGGGGATCTAGTCCACAATCTGGACATGTGCCCTGATAGGGAATCCAACTGTGACCTCCTGGTACATAGGTCAATGCTCAACCACTGAGCCACTCTGGCCAGGCTTAAAACTCATTTTAAAGTGACATGGAAATAGGGATGTGATGTGTAGAATAAACAGACAAATAAAACAGGAATCCTGGGAAATGTAGGATAACAGAGCCAGTCTTTACTTTCTGGGTGTCTTCCAAACCTTGCTGAAAGAAAGCACTTGATGACTGTACCTGATGTGGGGACAGAAGGTGAAGTTCAGGTAACTCTCAAGTTGGTAAAGCTAGGACCCAAAAGGTCTCTATAGATAGTAAAGGTGAATAAAAAATAAATGCATGACAGGCAAGAATAAGAACTGGACATTCTTATCCCTGGCACCAGGTGAAGGAGTAGGAAAAAAGTAATCTCCCCTAGAAATATATTTTTTAATTTTTTTAAATATATATTTTATTCATTCCCTTTTTTTTTTTTTTACAGAGAGGAAGGGAAAGGGACAGAGAGCTAGAAACATTGATGAGATAGAAACATTGACCAGCTGCCTTCTGCACACCCCCTACCGGGGATGTGCCCACAACCAAGGTACGTGCCCTTAACCGGAATCGAACCTGGGACCCTTCAGTCATGCAGGCCGACACTCTATCCACTGAACCAAAATGATTTCAACTAGAAATATTTTTTTACGTGTATATATTTAATTGAAGACAACTTGATATATTAAAACTTACAAATCTAAAGTATAAAGGTATTTGAATTTTACATTTAACAACAGAGATGAGAATACAGAACATTTTCATCACCCCAGAAATAACCTCATTCCCCTGCCCAATAAATGCAACCCCTATTTCTGGGGAAAGTATTATTCTGGCTTATAGCATTACTAGAGGCCTGATGCATGAAATTCGTGCATGGGGAGGAGGGAGGAAAGGGTTCCTCAGCCTGGCCTGCACTCTCTCCAATCTAGAGCCCCTGCAGGATCAGGCCTAAACTGGCAGTTGGACATCCCTCTCACAATCTGGGACCACTGGCTCCTAACTGCTCACCTGCCTGACTGCCTGATTGCCCCTAACCCCTCTGCCTACCTGCCTGATCACCCCTAACTGCTCCTCTGCCAGCCTGCTTGCCCCTATAACTGCTCCCCTGCTGGCCTGACCACCTCCTAACTGCTCCCCTGCCAGCCTGACCACAACTGCCTCTGCCTCAGTCTATGTCACTGCAGCTTTGTCCGGAAGGACATCTGGATTGATGTCCAGAAGGTCGTTTGGCTGTATGGTCTAATTAGTATAATACGCTTTTAATAGTATTGATAGGTTTGTTTTAGTCTTCCTTGAACTTAATGTAAATGAAATCACACAGCATGTTCTATGTGTGTCCAACTTTCTTCACTCCCTGTGATAGGCAGAATAATGGACCTCCAAAGGTATCATCAATCACTTCAGCTAAGATCAAGTACAAATTTCTTAACACCTTTTTCAATTGAATTTAAGGTGCTTGCCACGATTAGAAGGATCCACATCAGGGCATTTTCTTTCATGAGGAAGATTCCAATTGTGAATCTTAAAAAAAGTTTATTAATAAATCTCTTTCTGCCCTACTTCTGGAGGTTTACATCGTTCCTTCCACGGGTGCCTGGGTTATTAATTTACCTCCAATGCCACAGAATTTGTGTTTCCCATTGCTGTATGTATAACAACAATTGTTTCAACAGCCAGACCTGTTGTCTAGAAAATTCACATTTAAGAGGCACAAAAGCATTTTCAAGAAATTTACAGAAATCCGTTATGTTGCCCACTTTGGCTCTTCTATCTACTTAAGGGTATTCCATGAGCAGCATATGCACCAATGTAATTATCTTTATGACTTAGATTCAAGTCAAACCAACAAAAGAATATAGATAGCTGAGCCACAGTTAAGTTTGAACCTGGAGACTCACTTGTAGTGTGTACCAAATGATCCAGCCTCAGTTTCTGTAAGTGACACAAGTATCATTCCCAGAAGAGAGAGGGTATAATCCAGAACTTTTAAAATAAGAAATGACCAAGAGATTATTTCTTTCTGGGAAAGAAATGATTGAACTATCTTACTTAAAGTGAACAATTCATGAGGAATTCAGGAAATTTTTACGTCTATATTTGAAGAGGTTATTCCAATATTCAATAATGCCAGATGTGCGTGAATGGGCCAGTACTCAAATGAAAGATATATCAATTCATTTGAGTACTGGCCCATTTTAGTGGCTCTTTTCAATAAAAGGCACACATAGTCAGACTTTCAAAAGAACCAGAAATCTAAAAATATGACAATGATTAGTTTCAAGTCATAATGGGATGGCTAAAATCAAATGGTAAAATTGGAGCAGCCACACTCTAATGTAGCTAGCCTTCAAGTAGCAGCCAAAAGTACTCCTTAGGTAATGTGGTCTCTCTTACCATTAGTTAAAATGGGTCAATTTTCACCCAAACTAATCCATTAGACATGCAGTGGCCCTGCATTAAAAGCACTGAGTCCTGTAATGTGTGCTCTGTCTAGGATGCATTTCCATGTCCAATATAATGATGGATCCAGTCAGCAATCTTGAGTGGGGAAAGATTGAACTGGTCAGTCTCTAAAACTTGCCCTTAACTTGGGCATCTATATGAGTGACCCAGACAGTTCAATCAGCAGCTGCAATTTTTTTTTTCTGCCATTCATGGCCCTAAATAAGTATATCTAAAATCTGCTAATCTATAGTTTTCCAAGTGGAAGACCAAACAGCTAGATCATAGGTAACATGACTAAATATAACAAGGTTCCTTCAGGGAATTATGGCCAGTGCTACCAGGAGAGCTTGGATTCTGCACACAGAGAAAAGCAAATACATCTAATTTTGGTTCCCCATTACTACGGTAGTAATAAGGCTGAACAGTTTCAGCTGCCCAGAACACACTGTTAAATATCAGGTTGGCTCAACCATCACTGAATAAGGATCAGGCATTTAGGAGATCTCTGTGAATGAAAGGTCCCATTGTGTCACTGGCTTTGCTTGAGGCAGCAAAGTATAAAATAAACTTTCTTTTAAATGCATCCTGCAAATGCTAGGGTTCTTTCCCCAGCCTTACAAAGGGTTCAGCATTCTGGAGAAAGGCCTTGTGCATAGATGATTAAGAAGGAGCCCAAGGATGAAAGGTATTTTTGAAAGGCATTGGGGATCAGAGGAGCTTCAGCTAAAGGGAGCTGAAGATTCTGACCTTGACCAAGGACTGTGCTTTTATTCAACAGGATTTGTCCCAAGGCAAGGTGGAAATATACACTCCAAAGGGTAAGGTATCAAAGGATAGAATACAGAATTATCAATTTGGGGAATAGCTTACAGCTGTTCAGGTGTTAGGCCAAACAGGAGGCAATAAAATGCCCTGAGCTGTCTGGCAATTAACAATCCTATTTAGGTTTGGGGAAGTGCCTTTTAGCCATTTCCAACAGGTAAACTACATATGTGTGGCTCAGCCATTGTTAAGCCCACCAAGACCCACCAATATTTTGATGGAACTCTTGTAATGATTACATGCTGGAATTGGTTCTTGGCACTGCAGAACTGACTTATAGACTAGAACTGTTGTTGGCAAACTGCAGCTTGCGAGTCACATGTGGCTCTTCCACAAAATACCATTGCCTGGGGAGTCTATTTTGAAGAAGTAGCGTCAGAAGTTTAACAAATTGGCTCTCAAAAGAAATTTCAATCATTGTACTGTTAACATTTGGCTCTGTTGACTAATGAGTTTGCCAACCACTGGTAGAACATCATTTTTATTATTATTCACAATAGATCCAGATACATTAAATTTCAAACTATCTCTCTGGAAAGCTGACTCTTTGACTTGGCAATAAGAAGAACTAGAGCTAAGTATTTTTTTAGCATTAGTTTCTATGTTTTAGATATGTGCGGGTCTTTTCCCCACAAGCCTGAAACTTTTTACTCTACCAAATAGATTAACAACCACTATAAAGTTTTCCATTTAAGATGCTTAATCCAGGACCAAGAGAACTTTGTATTTGTGCTAAAATATAATTTTTCAAGGCAATCCATACTACTTTCCTCCAATCCTTTTTCCCACCAACAGTGCACAAGGGTTCTCTTTTCTCCACATTCTCACTAACACTTGTTTGGTTGTTGTTGATTTATTGATTGGCCTGACAGGTATGAGGGATATCGCATTGTGGTTTTAATTTGCATTTCTCTGATAATGAATGGTAAAATTGAGCATTTCTTTCATGTCTTCTGTATGTCCTCTTGAGAGAAGTGTATATTCAGATCCTTTGCCCATTTTTAATCCCTATGTTCAATGAGTGCAGCGTTATTTACAAGAGCAAAAATTTGGAAGTAACTCAAATGTCCATCAGTAGATGTGTGGATACAAAAGTTATGGTACATTTAGACAATGGAATTCTACTTAACTATAAAAAGAAAAGGACATGTCCCTTTTGCAGCAGAATGGATAGATGTAGGTGTTTCTCTCT